TCATTGTTGTTTGGCGGGTCCGGGCTGGATTCGAACCTGCCACCTTAGGTGTTTGTGGCTGGCACCTTAGCCACTTGAGCCACAGGCGCTGAGCCAGCCCTAGCAAGTTTTAACAGAGTTCCCTAAAGGAGGTAGACTTGCATTAATGGTAGGAGCAGTACCATAAATCCAGACAAACTCAGAATCACAAATTTCTCACTAAAATAATAATACAGAACAAATAAAAGAGAACAATGACATAAACAGTTAACATTTCTTTTTTTCTTTTTTTCTTTTTTCTTTTTTCTTTTTTTTTTTTTTTGCGGTTTTTGGCTGGGGCTGGGTTTGAACCTGCCACCTCTGGCACATGGGACCAGCACCCTACCCCTTTGAGCCACAGGCGCTGCCCCCCCCCCTTTTTTTAAGACAAGAGTCTCACTTTGTTATCTTCAGCAGAGTATTGTGGCATACCTTACAGCAACCACAAATTTTTGGGCTCAAGAGATCCTCTTGCCTCAGTCTCCCAAGTAGCTGGGACTATAGGTACCACCACAATGCCTAGCTATTTTTTTTAGAGTCAAGGGTCTCATTTTGTCTAGCTCAGGCTGGTCTCGAACCCCTGAGCTCACCTTTACCACCCAGAGTGCTAGAATTACAGACGTGACCCACTACAGCTAACATTTCTTCAGTTCTTACTATGTGCCAGGCACTTTTCTCATCTCTTTACATTTCTCAAAGTACTACTATATTTTAGAACAGAGAACGCTAAGGCCCAGAAAGGTTAAAAAACCTCCCAAAGTTGCACTACTATTAGGTGGTGATCCTGGAGTGTGGATCCCACCAGTCTGCCCCCAGAGCTCTTGTTCTGCACCAGCTGCTCTTGTGTCCTAGCCACTGGGCACATAAAGACAGTAAACTCAGGCGGCGCCCGTGGCTCAGTCAGTAGGGCGCTGGCCCCATATACTGAAGGTGGTGGGTTCAAACCCAGACCAGGCCAAACTGCAACAAAATAATAGCCAGGCGTTGTGGTGGGCCCCTGTAATCCCAACTACTTGGGAGGCTGAGGCAAGGGAATTGCCTAAGCCCAGGAGTTGAAGGTTGCTGTGAGCTGTGACACCACAGGGCTCTACTGAGGGTGATAAAGTGAGACTCTGTCTCTACAATAAAAAGACAGTAACCTCAATTCTGGTTTTTCGTTGTTGTTGTTGTTGTTGTTGTTGTTTTGAGACGGAGCCTCAAGCTATCCCCCTGGGTAGAGTGCCATGGCATCACAGCTCACAGCAACCTCCAACTCCTGGGCTCAAGCGAGTCTCCTGTCTCAGCCTCCCAAGTAGCTGGGACTACAGGCACCTGCCACAACACCTGGCCATTTTTTGGTTGCCTCCATCATTGTTGTTTGACGGGCCCGGGCTGGGGATTCGAACCCGCCACCTTAGGTGTATGTGGCTGGCGCCTTAGCCGTTTGAGCCACAGGTGCCGAGCCTCGTTGTTGTTTTTGAGACAGAGTCTCAAGCTGTCACCCTGGATAGAGTGCCATGGCATCATATCTAACAGCAACCTCCAACTTTTGGGCTCAAGTGATCCTCTTGCTTCAGTTTTTCTTCTTTTTTTTTTTTTTTTTTTGAGACAGTCTAAGTCGCCCTTGATAGAGTGCTGTGATGTTACAGCTCACAGCAACCTCCAACTCTTGGGCTTAAGCAATTCTCTTGCCTCAGCCTCCCAAGAAGCTGGGAATACAGGTGTCTGCCACCGTCGCCTGGCTATTTTTTTGTTGCAGTTGTTTAGCTGGCCCTGGCCGGGTTCAAACCTGCCACCCTCGGTATATGTGTCTGGCACCATGACCACTGTGCTACGAGTGCTAAGCCTCAGTTTTTCTATTTTTAATAGAGAAGGGGTATCACTCTTGCTCAGGCTGGTCTTGACCCGTGAGCTCAAGCAATTCACCCACCTCAGCCTCCCAGAGTGCTAGGACTATAGGCATGAGCCACCTCGCCCAGACTTAAACTACTCAATTCTTATAAGTGAGGAAGCCAAAAAGTAATCCCTTTAATAAGATAAGCAAAGTCACACAGCAAATTTAAATAACAATACAATGTCAAACTCAGGGCTTCTGACTTTGAGCCTCCTCCTCATTCTCAAGAGCTGTCTCCCATAAGTCTTTTCTTTTAATTTGTGACTAGGGAAACCCTGGTTCTTCTCCTAGTCACAGTGGGGGAGGTGAAGAACCTGTTCCCTCTTACCTTCATACTTGGTTAATTTCTGTTCAGTTCACATAGCACTGAGGGCCTGTGTTAACCTAACCCTTTGCCAGCCTCATTCAGAGGACTTTCATCAGCTAATATTTGCCTTAACTGATTACAAAAAAGAGCTTTGCAGAGGAATGTGTGATGAAGCACACATCTTACATATAGGTGTCTGAATGGTCATTTTTAATAAAAGCTCACTCACCTCCTGTGTGTATAACAAGCAAGACATTTAACCTCTCAGAGACTGTGCCTGTCAAGTGGCAGGTGATGTGAAAGGATTTTCAAACCCTTAAGTACACAAGGAAAAAAGCCCTATATCAACACAAAGGTGAGGAAAAAGTTCAGAAAGATTAGAAAAGAGCCCGCCATGAATGGAGCTGCTTGGCAGGGGGGTGTTTGTCAGAGCATGGCAGAAAAGCATAATGATCATTTATAGCAGGTATGTTGCTTAGCAAAGCTGATGACAAATTTGGCATCCAGAAAGATAGCCTGGTGAAGCCATTCAGAAGCTAGTGTGGAAGCAGGTGAGATGACATTTGCATAGCCTTTTGTAAGACCCTAGTCCAGACAGGGGCAGGCCCTCTGACCTTGCTCCCTGACCACTCACTGCAGGCTCACAGCCTGAGCACACAGATTCCCTTATTCACCACATTTTTTGAGCTGACTAGGTACAAGGCTAATACTGTGGTACACAGTATAGGCTGTTTCCCTGCACTGAGAAAGTTTATATTCTAAAGGAAAAAGATGGAATAAACCAGAAAGAAACATTGCACAGTGTAAGTACTATAAGAATGAAAATAGGGGCTTGGCTCCTGTAGCACTGTGGTTACAGCACCAGCCACATACACTGAGGCTGGAGGGTTCAAATCTGGCCCAGGCCTGCTAAATAACAATGACAGGTTAAAAAATTAGCCAGGCGTTGTGGCAGGCACTTGTAATCCCAGCTACTTAACGGAGGCTGAGGCAAGAGAATCACTTAAGCCCAAGAGTTTGAGGTTGCTGTAAGCTGTGTGACACCATTGCACTCTACCAAGGGTGACATAGTGAGACTCTGACTCAAAAAAAAAAGAAGAATGAAAATAGGGCAGTGGGTGACTTGAGATGGAGTTTGGCCAGTTGAGTGTTTGGGGAGACATCCTGAGGAGGTGTGACATTCCAAGTGATACTATAGGAAGGATGCCAGCCATCGAGGGATCTGTGAGGAATAGAGTGCTCCTAGTACTGGAAATCACCAGTTGCTGAGCAGAAAAGGGGACAGCCAGTCCGGCCAGAGCTTCCCAGGGGAAGAGGGCATGGTTTGTAGGAGATGAGATTACAGACTAGGCAGGGGCCGTTCCTGAAAGGTGGGTCAGACCACAGTGAAGAACTCCCAAGAGAATGGGCAGGTGTGGGGTGAGACTGGTTCTTCAAGAAGCTTTGCAGTGAAGGGAATCTGAAATGGAGCTGTGTATCGGATGGGGAATGGTGGGCTTCAAGGGAGGTATCCTTCCCCTTGTGGAGGGAGTAGGCTGAGTTCAGAAAGTCAGGTGCAGATTTAGCAGGGCCTTAAGGGTATGGTGGTGGGAAGGTTGGAAGTCCTTTGGTTATTTTCCTCAACTGTGTAGACTGGAACAGCCTGGGGTCTGGGAGAGAGAAGGTATGAAGAAGCAGCTCTGTTCCTGCTCCTCAAGGGGTCGTGCATTGTCTCTGACCCTAATATAGTGCTGTGGGAGAGGGCCTTCCCTTCTTGAGTCCAGGTGACCTGGGTTGGCCGTGTCTCATGCCCAATCCTCACTTTCCCCTCACCGTAGCCACACTGCCTTTCTGGCTGCTGCCATGGAGGAGACACAATCGGACCTCACCATTGAGCCCCCTCTGAGTCAAGAGACATTTTCAGACTTATGGAAACTGTGAGTAAATCTCATGGGAAGGGCAGGCTCACTGTTCCCAACCTTGCCCTTCCCAACCCCCCAGCAGAGGCCTGTGAAATATAAAAAACCAATGGTGGCTCAGTGCCTGTGGTTCAAGTGGCTAAGGCACCAGCCACATATACCTAACCTAAGGTAGTGGGTTCAAATCCAGCCTGGGCCCGCCAAAACAACAATGACGGCTGCAACCAAAAAAAAAAAAATAGCC